CGTTATCATTATACCATCATCTTTGCTGTATTATATCATCGTCAACACACCATAATCTTCATTAGAATCATAGTGTCATCGTTATCATTATACCATCATCATTGCTGTATTATATAATCATCATTAACATGTTTTGTTTTGAAGTCTCTAGAAACCTCTAACACTGTTATCATATTATATTACTCAAGGACCGAAAAGGCCCAGTTTTTGCCATGGACCTAATGGCGTGGTGCTGGGAGCAAGACTCAGATAAGCGTCCCACCTCAGCCCAAGTCTACGCATTGGCCTCGTCTTTAGAATTCGCACGCCTTGCGGATGTACTGACTTTCGACAAACAGCTGACCATAAATTGTGCAGTGACTGCAGGCTCACGTGTCAATTCAGGTTGTGGTGCTGATGGRCGGCCAAGTGTTGGTAATGAAGTTTGGTTGTGTCGAAGTGAGTTAACTGATGGTATTGGGACTAGTAAGATTAATGTGGTGAAATACAATGGCGGTAGATTTAGTCATAAAGAGGTAGGTGAATGATAGCCTTACTCTGGTCTTCCTGTGGCGATACAAAAGGTGGGGGAGTGGGGTCGGGTAGTTGACAAAGTGGACCCAGATTGGCTTCTTACAGGGACGGTATTCTTGAATTTATCGTACATTTTCCCCGTGCAATCCTTCATTAACGACCTAAGATACGCTGTAATAGGATGGTAGTCCAGAACTGGACCTTCTTTTCTCAATTACTATGTTATTATGTGTTAAAGTCAAAAATCTAACGTGCGCGCTCAGACCGTTGAGTACGTTGAATCTATATCTTATATAGATTTCAATTCCGCGTGCGCAGTGATAAAAGAGGGTCGAGACTATGGGATGAAATGCTGTCGATTATTTCCGTTTGGAACTTAACGGCACTGAATTGAATTTTACAACAATCTTCCGTTCAAATTGCTCAAATGATTTTTTTTAATCGTATGTCAGCAGTATGTTTATGTTTTTCTTCTAAAATCACGTCGTATAGGAACTGTCATTAAAGAATGGAAGCGTCCGTGTCGCCTGTAGCGTGGGTAGTACTGTATGGCTAGGAACAGAATCAGGAACACTTCATGTCTACTGCTCCATAACGTACAGAGAACTATGTAAAGGTGTCATCAAGCGAGCCAAATACATCATAAARATGGTCCATATTCCTCGATGTAATTGGGTTCTAGTAGCTTTAGGTGACGGTTCCATTCTAGCTTACAACGACAACATCTGTAACCATTACCATTACAGTGATCCTGGGTCTACAACCCCTACTCAAGAACTCCTTCCAAGCCGTGGATACCCTGGAAATGGCAATCTTATCCATTGTATTGCCTCTGTACCCATTATATACCCTCGGATTATCGACCCATCGAGTGACGATGGCACCAGAGGAAGCCCTGAGCCTACGGAGGAGTACATCTGTGAGGTCTGGTGTGGCCAGGAAAAGGGGGAAATTACAGTACTCGATGGTGAAGAACTTCAGAAGATATCAACCATGCCAGCTGAAGATTCTGATTCTGACGTAACCATCCTCAAAGAGCAAAGCGTTTCTCATCTAGTCACGTGTCGAACGTTCAGGTCGACGATAAAGAGCGAAGAACCTGTTGCCAAGTCTGTGTGGGTCGCGTTGTACCCTGGGACTCGTGTTTTTCGCTGGAATGCACAGGAGAAGAGAACTGTYCGAAGCGTTGATTGTTCTATGCATAAACCAAGGTTTGATGGTAAGRCATTGTTGCTAAATRTCATTGATGGCTAACATCATTTTAAGAAAGRCGTCTTCGTAATAGATCTCTTGAGCTTTTACGTTATGCACCYTATACGCAATGCATTGTAGGATATGTTTGGGACAGAACATGGTGGATTTATTTTGATTTCTCTTGAAACTGATCCCACAATGCATTGAAAATCAAGTAGTGACGTAAAAGGTTCAGAAATCTATTCTCCGTGCCATCTTAGAAGGTAKCTTTGTCTTTGCCTCAAAACGAGATGACCAGTGCACTTAAAATGATAGATACGTGCGAGGGAAAGTTTGCTCTCTCACCAGTAATCTCTCTCATTAAAAGGCGATGTCATCTTTCAATAATAGGGTATGAAACTCTGAAGGAGTTTAAGGAATTCAAACCCATAGTATGAATAATGAATGCCTGAGCTGACAAAATCGTGCAATATTGCATTTTTTATACCTTTTCAGCTGCAAAAAGCATGAAGTCAAGCCTACAACGAAGTGGTGGGATACGACACGGTCAACTAAGCGGTATGTCAACTGAATGAGTAGCAACGCTCGTTGTAATAGACCCCTTGCATGTGACGTCAAAGCAGCTTCATCTGGAGGACAAAACAAAAGATTTTTAACCTCTTGGGAACTAGAATCCATTGTTTTGTCCTCCAGTTGGAGCCGCATTCCCATGAACTGCAAGGGGTCTATATCGTTCAGGTCCGGGTTGTTCAAAGCCCGATTAGCGCTAATCCAGGGCTAACTCCATAGGTTTTCTAAGAGCTAACCCAGGATTAGCTCTAATCTAACATGAGGTAGCTAATTAGATATATAGCTGGTAGTCAAGGCAGAATGGTACAGATCAAGCTACAGTTATAGTTGTCAGGAACTATTAGTTGCCAGTGCGTATCGGTAAGTTGAGTTCGCTAGTATGTTTGAACTCTACTAGAATTACAAACAGATTTTTGTCTTTTGAATTTTGCAGCCGTTCGTGCCCAGGTCAATTCATTACTAGCGGTCGATAAAGAACTGTACATTGGCACTAGCTGGGGGTGTATACTTGTGTGCAACAATCTCTCTCTAGCYGTACTCTCGATCATTCGTTGTCATGAGGAAACAGTTAGCTACTTACTACCGCTGGTCAGCACGTCCGTAGGCTCACAATCAAATACCCATAATTCTTTAGTCATGAGCTGTGGGAGAGGCTACCGCAACATTGGGACAAGTCTTCATGGCAACAATCCCTATCCCAGTCTCGCTCCTTCACGTCGTGGTGGAAAACCGCTTGGTAAACGTGAGTCTGCGATCCTAGTGTGGTTGGCGGATTCCTGGGAAAGCTGAGKTTGTTGTGCTGTAGGGAATAATRACTTYTTCCACTAGTTACGTCATTCCATGATGTCACTCGYCCATATATGGACTAATGGGTAGCTATGGACGTCATGAAGGAATAACTCCACTCCATGCATGACGTCACATTTGTGTTGAAATGCAGAACGCTCATTTACCAAGAAAATATGATGATCACCGTTTTCTAAAAGGCGTCATCCAAACTTGATTGAAGTCAATAATGTAACCCTACTCGTATGAACTGGTGGATCTACTGCTACGTCACTGTACCAAGAGCAAATTCGAGAAATGACGTCATCATTCTTGAGAACAGACATATATAGAGTATTTATCTCAATGAAATTTAACATGACGTCATTTTAACAAATGACGTAATCGTCAACTTTAATTTATAATAATGAAATACTTTTATCTTGGACAAAAAACCTGACATGACAAAAAAAAAACATGTTGTCAACGATCAATCCAAAATAGTAATGATTTTTTAAAAGTAATTTTGTTTTATTTTTTTATTAGTTCTTTTGAAAAACAAGATCTTAGTTTGATAGTGGCATTTCACATTGTACTGAATTGATAACGGGAAATGCAGCCCCTTTTACGACCTATCTTTAACAACTACAAGTGTCTCGAGTGCTCTAATCGTCAACTACAAGTTATCTTCAAAAGATATTTATTTTAGAAATAAATATAACTAAATGTTTTGTTGGTACAAGAACTACAAAGTTTACTTTATTAGTGTGTCCTCTACGAAGAGTTGATAGAGCTACCGATAAAGTTATGCCACCATAGATATTGTATAATTTTAATCCGCAAGCTAAGGATTTCTGCGCTATATTGGCCATTCCGAAATTCAAAAGGAGACCGGGAAGGAGTGTGAAAATAGTCCCCTCATCGAAATTTGAACCTCACCACATGAAAGACCATGCTACAATTAGTGTTCTTGTCAAGTTTGAGACTATTTAGTTGAATATTTACAAAGTAGAAATTGTTTCAAATTTGTAAAAATAAGATAGAATGGGGACGCTGCTCAGGAGCTCCATACATTCTTTGTAATTATAAAGTAATTATTAATCCGAGAACGCTCAAACTCGGCAACTATACTAATTCTAGTATTCTCTTTCTTGTCCTGGTGTCTGTTTCTTTGATTATCYAGTTTGTGACTAGTCACCAGTCCCTTTTTGAATTTCGAAATGCAAGGCAGCTTATGAAGGAAATTTTTTATCGTTTTTTTTTTCAATGGATGGCGATGCGAAATGAGTGTTTTTTTGACATACTCAATGGGCGCAGTTGTTTTTAGATCATAATAGTAGCATTACTAGATACTTTTAAATTATTATTTTGTTAAAATGAGTCGACTGCACACAAATATTAAAGAATATTTCAAAACCAAGAAGTCTTGTGATCACATCCCACTTCCAAATGTAGCTCATTTATCCTTTATCCCAAGTCACATTTTCCCATTCAAACTGATCACGTGGTAGTGAACTTCGAATACTCTTGCGCATGTCATGTGAGTTGTTGATCCAAAATGGCGACGCTTGTGATCCCTAAAGAGTACGGCTATGTCGTTCTTACTGGAGTTTCGTCGGCTTTCTTGATAACTTACTTAGCAATGAATGTCGGCAAAGCAAGGAAGAAGTTCAAAGTCGAGGTATTTGAGTGTTTTTTATGTTGCTTTTTGTGTTATCGATGTGCGTGCGGTAGAGCATGCGAGCTTTCTTTGTGTCACTTCGAACATTGTGCTCTGCATATGTTAGTACCCCGACATTTTCAAACATTGCATCTATTCACGCATTTGGAAAAACGTATTGCAAAACCTTTAAAACTGCAAATGTATCAAGATCTTAGCGTTTAAATTAGATATTATGTACAGTGTGATAACTTACCTCAACATGAGAATGACACAGCATATTTTGATAAGTTGCAAAAACTTTTGACATGTCGTGCATATAATTTGGGTGTTGAGAAATGTTTCAGATCTTCGTCTAGTTAAGGAATATGAACAATTAAAATATGTATGAATACATAATAACTGAACTATGAACCTATCAGTGACAATCCATTAGAATTTCGAGGGGAGGAGGGAAGATTTTGTCCGCGCAAGAATTTTTTTAGGACTTCAGGTGCGGCCTTGTACATTTAATTTTTTTTGTAAATTTACAAGAGCTTTAGTCCACAGACACTTTACATGTACCCTATTCCTAACATTTTAGTACCCTAAGATGTATGACGACAAGGAAATAGTGTTCAACTGCTATCAAAGAGCTCACCAGAACACGTGAGTACAAATCTCTGAGACTAGATTTGTTTTCTACCATGTCTATGAAGGAACTCTTTGTTGTTCTACATATTATGGTAGTTCTGTGRAGCATGACTAGCTGTGTGTAGTTGTACTATGACATATATCACAACGTAGACAACACGGGGTATMGTAMTGTTGRAAAATTAAAAAGAGGCAGGTTTAAAGAMGCGTTTCAAGGAGAGTTGCAATGTTGCTTTGTCAGTACTTATTCTTATTTCTTGACAATTTCAGGCTTGAGAACTATCCCCAGTACCTGATGCTGTTGTTGATTGGAGGACTCAAACATCCAGTAAGTATTATTGASAGATAAAATGGAAATAKAAAKACAKCACAAGAGAAGCAAAAGCTGRCAAAATTTRTCATTAKAGAYTCCCTTTATGCTCTATGAATGGATTTCTCGTAAGATCCAATTACCTCTATTGGTTATTTAAAGTTACCTGGCTTTTCATAATAAATGTTTTGATATATGACAAATCAAAAATATAACCACATTTAATGGCATTGACATAGCCCTTTCATTGCTCTGGGAAAAAATCTCCAACTACAAACAAGTTGAATTCATTTACTCACCAATCCTGTATCTTATTTTGTTCAGATTGTGTGTTCAGTTGGTGGACTTGTTTGGATTCTTGGCAGGATTGCTTATGCCCATGGCTACTACACTGGAGGTAAAGTAATGTACTYTATTAACTATATTTCTCTCTTCCATAATTACAAAAAAATGCTTTACCCAGTTTTGTGTTTTTTAGAAGAAAATTATCATATTAAATATGAAATTGAGTGATTTTATCAAAGCTATGGTGAGTGTTGCTGTACTGTAGACTGACATGGTTTTGGTTGAAAGAATGTTAATAAAAAGCAAAGAAAATTTAATAGTTTTTTTAAATATAGTAGCAAAATGCTTTGCAAACTTTGAGAAACTTGTGTAGAGTGCTTTCCTGCCAATACGAACCTGGAATTCAGGAAACTTTTAATCAATTTAAGGGCATAAATCTTGTAATTTAATTTTTTTCGTCTGTTTTGTAGATCCATCAAAGCGCATGTATGGAGGATTTGGCTACCTTGGCTTGTTTGCCATGCTTGGGTCAACAGCTCACTTCGCTTTGGATCTTCTTGGTGTRTTGTAAGCAATCGCTGTAACACAACASACTCRRCKTTCAAGTWARTTTGTATCCTCTGGCGTTAGTTTAAATGTACCCATGTTTGTATATGTATACAGGTTTTTAGACTTTGTAAATTGAATTTAAACCTTGAAAATAATAAACCATCTATGTGAACTTATGTTTTAAAGAACGGTTTGTTMTCTGAATGGCTTAATTTTTAGTTTAAAAAGTAACAATCGACTCTTGAAGCTTTTATGCAACCTACTAGAATTGCAAAGCATTGAATTGCAAAGCATTGTGGGATTAGTTTCTGAAGAAGGAAATGTAAAAAAACAATCTTCCATGTTTTGTCCCAAGCATATTCTACAATGCATTGTGTATATGGTACATGATGTAAAATCTTCAAAGGTCTATTTTTTGATAAAATGTTGAAATAACTTTTGATGAAAAGCATTGKATACAGTTTGAATGTGTACAACACTGRGCACGAGATGAAAATGTYTAATTGGCAATTTCATTCCATATGCCCTCAGCATTGCAAGAGAGMGAAATTGGAAAGTCACCCAATATAATCTTTACAATGATCTTTGTAAATTTGAGCAAGTTTGGGAGCTTTTTCCTCGTGAATTTTCATAGATCACATTGAATATCATTGTAAAATTCACAAAAACTGAAAAGAATGGGGGGAAACAAAAATTCGAGAAATGGAGAAATGGGATCTCAAGGGGAAAATGAGATTATCATATTGTTGATAGAAGTGAAAAGTGTTTAAGCTGTCTAGAGCGTGAAAWAGAATTGTCGCGTGAAAATACAAGTATTTTTGTCGGCACACGGAAACGTTTTTACGTCAGAACTTCCTTTGCTGGTATTTCTCTCCCTGTAATTTTCTCAGATTTTGAGGTAACTTTTTAACAATTGATTGTATCTCTAAATAAACATGAACAGACCAATACGAATAATCCATTACCGTTTTTGAGGTTTTGGGTTTATTAATTTATAATTTAAACCCATTGAAAATACTCCTTTCTTTTTGGTAAATTATTCAAAATGTGCGTACTGAATTATTGAGTAGTTAGAGATAAGATTTTCTGACACCGATTGCAAAATCGATAAAAGAAATCCAAAGTACGAAAAACCTCTTCAGGGAAACTTAAAATGAATTCAAAAATCCTTCCCAAGTACGTCCAAGTGTTCCTGCTAGCACTATGCTGTGCTTTGGGTAAGTAGATTAAGTTTTCTGAGCTTTAGATGTTGTTTTCTTGCGCCTTCTAAGTTTCAGACTGAATAATTGATCGCGAGAAGATTTCGCAAGGATTTTCAGAAGTGTAGAATCTTTCAGCATGAATGTTTATCGATTCGTATCACAATTTTAGCTCGTTAAACTAATATTGTGATAAACTTTATTTTTAGTTTAGAACTATGATTCCCACAGAGGTATCAGTCACTACGGGAAGGCTTTTGCCTCTGATATTAATTTGATTTTAACAAGAAAGTCGATATTTAGGAGTGGCAACATTTTTCAGTAGAAAACCCATTTTCAGTAGAAAACCCAGACTACAGTTTACAAACAGCTTTTTTGGTGATGAAAATCATACTAATGTCACTGATTCTCTTCCTTTTGTTATACTTCTTCTAGTTCTTCTTGTTCTCATCTTGTTCTTCTTGTTCTTCTTGTTCTTCTTGTTCTTCTTGTTCTTCTTGTTCTCATCTTGTTCTTCTTGTTCTTCTTGTTCTCCTTGTTCTTCTTGTTCTTCTTGTTCTTCTTGTTCTCCTTGTTCTCCTTGTTCT